CCCGCTGGCCTTATGAATCAAGAGGAAAAACACAACCAGCGTCACGTGACTGAACAGACTTTTATTTTAAGCTTTACCCCACCCCCACCCCAGGGTGCTGGACATCTGCCGCCCGGGTCCAAGCCTGGCCCCGCCTTGTGCCCTGGGGGCTGGGCCACCAGTCACTGTACCTTAGAGCAGTAAACTTGTACCTGAACTGGAGCCAACATCCCACTGGCCCACTGGGTCTGGCCAGGCCGGGCTCCGGGCAGCGCCCGGCACTCCCCCAGCCGGAGTCTAGGGACAGCCCCCCGCCCCCCGGGACTCAGGGGAGAGGCCGTTAAAACGCGCCAAGGCCCGAGAGGCGCCCGCTGGTGCTGGGAGAAGGCGAAGAGCCAGGCAAGGTCCTCCCAGAGGTGCCAGCAGAGGCCTCTGCCTGGCAGCAGCCCGCCCGCCCTGGCCAAGCCCAGAGCCGGGCACCCACACCTCCCCGAAGCTGAGAAGAAACAGGCGGGGGGCACAGCAAGCTTTGCTGCCAGGGCGTACAAAACCCTAAATATTAAAAACTAAATGGACACGAAAGCCCAGTCCACTGGCCAGCAGTGAGCAGGTGACTGAGACACAGAGCCAGCGCCCCAATCTCCCGCCAGCACCAGGGTCTCCAGAGCAGCAGGAGGGGCCCAGAGCCAAGTGAGCCTGTCACCAAGAGCCGCCCTGGGAGGGAGGGGAGGGGAGGGGACGGTGTCCTTAGGATTCCCCAGGGTGGGGCACTGAGGACTGTAAACATGACCCTGCTGGGGGCCGGGGTGTCCCAGCCCCCCAAGATTCTCCCTGCATGAAGAAGGGCCACTGCTGTGAGTGAGAAGAGCAAAACAGAAGTGGCCTGAAGCAGTTTTCCCCTGTGGAATACCAGGAGGGGAGACAGTCTGTGAGCGGGTGGGTGCTGTGATGCAAGGAGAGGCGTCCGGAAGCCCCGCCCGCTCTGCCGCCTTCCTGTCGCCCACTGGCTGGTGCCTGTGCCCGTCCTGGGCAGCGAGCGGCGAGCATCCACCCTCCCTAGCAGAACCTGCTCTGCTCCAGTGGGCCCAGGCCACCACTGCCCCAGGACTGCGCCGCCGAGTCAGGCTCAGGCGGCTCAGGGAGGCCCCGCCTCACCGGCCGGGGTGGAAGAGCCGGCCCTGGGAGGGGCTGGCACTGGTGAGGGAGCGGCAGCAGAGCCGCTCTGGGGCAGGCGTGGCCGAGGCCAGAGGTCTCTGCCGCTGCTGAGCTAGGATCAGCCCTCTGGGCCTGCGCGGCCTGAGGAAGTCCTGCCTCAGCCAGGCCAGGAGCCCTCAGGGACGCGCAGGAAGCCCTGCGACCCCTGCCCGAGGCGGGCGGGCGGGCGGGCAGGCGCAGGGACGCCCTACCCTGCCGCAGCTGGCACAGAAGCTCTCTCCACATCCAGGCCCGTCAGGCGCTGCTGGGCCAGGCCACAGAGCTGGTCAGGTCCCAGTCAACCAGCAGCCCGGTGCCAGCAGCATGGGCTTTGACCAGGGGACTCTCGCCGGTGACTGTGGGCCGGGCCGGGGGCTGCCGCTCCCGAACCGGCCTCGGGCTTCAGCCAAGGCCTGGGTCTGCCTGAGCATCGGTGTGACGGTGCCCCCAGAGCAGGGCTTTTTCTCCAGGTCACACAAGTCCCCAAGCACCTGTCAGGATCCAGTATCTTCTCTAGACCTTGAAGATGGGCCACTCACGCTCCTCGGTGGCTGGGCAAGGACCAGGCCCCCGGCCTGCTGCCAGAAGGTGGCCGGAGTCCTACCAGACCCGCAGGTGACCTCGGTCACCTCAAGGCTGGGCCTGGCCCCCGAGCCACTGGCTCCTCAGTGCCCGCACCTCCTGCCCGTACCACTCGTGCAGTTCAGAGAAGGAGGCCCTGTCCAGCGGCCCACTGGGCACAGAGGCCCGCCGGCGTGGGGGCAGGGGTGGAGGCACGGGGCCCGGCCGAGGGCCGGGCGAGGGGGCCGCGGGGGCCTGCGTGCTCCAGACGGCACAGCCGTTCTCCTTGGGCGGGGGGCCGGGGGGCCGGCGGGGCACGGGCCAACGGCCCCCCGCGTGCACGGTGGCCAGCTGCTGCTCCAGCTCTCGCACCACCAGCCGCAGGTAGTCGAAGCTGGCCCGCGACAGCGCCTTCACCCAGCCCTCCATGGCGGCCTGGCTCTCGGCGGCCAGCACGTAGGTGCGGGTCCGCGCCCCCGCGAAGCGCACAGCGAAGGCGAACTCCTCGGCGGCCTCCACCAGCTCCACGGTGCAGCCCTCCAGGATGATGACGCCCGCGGGCTCGCGGCTGGCCGGGTCCTCGAAGTAGAAGAGCATGTTGCCGCGCAGCACGAACCAGCGGCGCTGGTAGGCCGCGTGCCGGCCGCCCTTCTTGTGCAGGAAGCCGGCGTTGTCCACCGGGGCGTCGCAGGTGGCGTAGAAGGCCAGGCTGCGCTCGTTCAGCTTCATGGCGGCCAGGCGGGCGGAGGGTCGGGGCCTGTCGCACCCCAGAACAGCAGTCATGCACGTGGCCACCGTCACCCGCGCCAGGGCGCCTCACCGCCACCACCACCCGCCACCTCAACACCCCACTGCAAAGGAGGAAGCCGAGGCCCGAGCGGCAGCAGCGCCGGGCACAGGCCCCCGCCACCTGGCGCGCTGGCTCGGCCGGCCCTGTGCCACCCCCGGACAGACGGGGCCACAGTGCGGGGCGGCCAGGGCTGCCGCTCAGACCCGGCCTGGAGTCGGGCACGCGCTGCCCCCGCCAGCGGCCAGCCGACCTCTGTGGCCCTTTGCGGCTCCCAGCTGACTGCGGGACTCGGCTCGATTTGTCCATCCGTGAAACGGGGATGCAGACGGAACCTCCTCTGGAGGGCCGGGGCTGCGCTCAGCCAACCCCTGCTGAGCACCTGTGTGCCAGGCTCTGCGTGGGCACCGGGGGACAGTCAGCGAGGGGGGGGTCCCCGCGCCCGCCTGTCCCGGTGCGCACAGGCGAGCGGCAGTGAGTGGGGGCAGCGTCAACACGAGCACGTGGACAGCGGAGTGCGCTGCCACCAGGGGCAGGCGTCAGGGTGCCGGGCACAAAGCGCGTGCGGCTCTACTGTGGGGGTGTCGAGAAGGGCTGAAGGGGACGCCCCAGCAGAGGCCTGAGGAGGCGAGACGGGCCCCGGAGCACGCCGGAGAGGACACTCTGCTGCCTTGGGCAGAGCCTTCCTTCGGACCTGGAGGAACGGGCCGTGGGTGGGACCTCTCCTGGCAGCAGCTGGTCCCCGGGGGTACAGACAGGCTGACCGGACCGAAGGGGCACCCTCAGCTCCCCCACCACATGCCCCAGCCTGCCGAGGCGTCGGGGGAGGCTTCGTGGAAGAGGCAACAAGGGCCTTGATTAAGCGTCCTGTCCCCCCGCCCCCCCCGGCAGCCGAGCCTCTGAGCCGTGAGACTCCTGTCACGGGGCCCCTCTCTCGCCTCAGTTTCTCCGCACAGCGGGACGCATGCATCACACTGTCACTCACTCACACACACTCACACTCACTCCACAACAACCCCACGGGGGCCCCAGCCCCGTCTGCGACGGGAACCGCCCAGACACTGACCCCTTTCCCTCCTACCTCAGGTCCGCCGGCTCGTCTGGGCTTGGTCTCCTCTGGGCTCAGACGTCAGCCCTGACCCCACAGCGCCTCTCTCGACCCTTCTGCGCCTCTGTAAAGTGGGAGAACAGCCGAAGTCGCGGTGGGGGTGAGGGCACGCGCTGGTGCTGGCACTGCTCGCACAGGGCAGGCCTCGCGGCCTCGGCCCTTGCTCTTCGTTGAGCCCGGCCTTGCGGACGCCCGGACCAGGGCCCGGCCCCCGCCCGCGGCCGCCCCGCCCCAGCCCTTCGCTAGCCCGTCTCCGCTCTCGCCCGATCCTGGCCATTTCCCAGGGTGAGAGTCCAACTCCTTCCTAGGCCGCGGCCTGGGCATCCACTCTCCAGAGAGCCTGTTGAAACTAAGCTGTCACACCTGCCCCTTGTGCTCCCAGCTTCGCAGCCTCCAAGTCCCCTCCCAACCTGCCCCTCCTGTTCCCCGGCTCCAGGGCCTGGACTCCTTGCTGTTGCTCAAACACCGGGGACAGTCCGCCGCAGGCCTCCCCCGGCGGTTCCTCTGCTCGCTTCCCTGCCCACTGGCAACTCTCACCCTCCAATACCAGCTGCATCACCTGAGCGAAGGGACCCCAACCGCCTTGTGTGTCGGAGCAGCGTCCACCTCCACCCTCACGCACCCCCATCTGGAATCACCTGGGTCTTTTTGCCTCTTCCAGGAAGGCAGGTTTTGGCCGGGGTTGGGGGCGGCTGGGACGGACTTTTTATCTGAATTCTAGTGCCTGGCCTGTAACTGGCGCTCAAACAGCCTCCGAGTTAACCTGTGAGGCCCCGAGACGGGTCTGTTCCCGCCCCCACACAGACGCACAAGCTGGGAGCAATGGCCCAGGCCCAGGCCCAACACTGCCCAGAATTGCAGGCTGCGGGCAACCAGCCCTGGGGAGGCTGATCTCTGGGTATCCCCCCCCCCCGGAGGCCAGAGGAAAGCGGCTTCCTTGGGTGGGCTGGGCGGCCGTCCTTCCCTACCGGCCAGCAGGGCCGGCCTGGCCCACGGTCCGCGCGCGGGCAAGGGCCCCCTTCTGCCCACAGCGGCTGCCTCCTCCAGCCCAGCAGCAAAAGGGAGAGCAGGGGGCAGCTGGTGCGGCTGCAGCGGGCCCGGCTCCTCTTCCCCACACCCCTGGCTCCAGGAAGCTCAGAGTCCACTGTGGGCAGTGCGGCCCAGCCGCCCGAGCCCCCGTCACCCGGGCCAGCCGCGAGTCATTCCAATTCCCGGGCCTCGGTTTCCTGGTCCGCTCAGTGGCTACAAGGAAACGCACTGGCGGCTACGGAAAAGCATCACCGACGTGAGCGCTGCAGGCTGGGGTCTGCGGGGGCCCCCCCCCCCGTGTGCAGAGAAGGTAAATCGCACCCCAATGGGGAGGCCGAATGCTGAAGAGCAGTCCTGTGCGCAATCAGGAGAGCAGCTGCTGAGGAGGCAATCAGCGAGCGGTGGCTGGGGCCTCTGGGGAAACTGAGGCATGCCCTGTGCACGAACTTCCAGGGAAAAGAGCCAAGGGCCCTGCTGGCTCCCAGGAGCCGCGAGAGGCCCTGGCGCGGACATGGGGCGAGGGCGTGGCGGCGCAGCGCGGGCCCGGGAGCCCCG